GAGGCGCCAGGTCTGCCTCTCACCCGGGAGAACGGTTTCTTCCTGCTGTGGACTGTTGCCTCCAGGATGACAGTAAAGACGGTTCAGTAGTGGGGGTTAAGGTGTGTAGTATTTGGGCTATTTGGAGAAGTCTTGGGTGATGTCCGCCTTGATTAGCCACAGTTAACCTCAGCAGTAAAGGAAGCTACTGATGAGGTCAGTCAGGAACTGTGTTCTTGAGAAAGTTACAGGGAAAAACATTACTAAACGGACCACATACTCACCACATCTATCCTGGGCGTGGGACATTGGCTGAGACGAGCGTCGTTGGCTATGACGTCCAGCTGATCACGGCCGGTGGGTCGTGGCACGGCAGCCGATGACGATGCTGCAGCGACTCCGGTGGTAACCGGGCAGTGAGGTGCGTACCTACAGGCAGCACTGCACCAGGTACAGCGGTAGCGCGGGTGACGCGTGACACAGAGGGAACAGTCGTGGTGGCCGCGGTGCGCGCCCAACACGCCACACTTGTATAGTACCAGAGGACGTGCATCAACAACATGGTCTCGGTTCCACACGAGCGTCACCCGCGCCTCGTACTCTCCCTCAGCAGACTCGTAGCGGTAAACGGTGGGCTCACATACCACGCGCTGCGCGCGTCGGTTTTGCTGTTGATGGCTGACGGTAGTAGCGGTGGCGGCGAGGCTGGTACCATCTTCCTCTGCGGCGCCCATCACCCTGGCCCCTACCAGCATGGTGGCGCCCTCGATGCTCACCACACACTGGAAGCCCAGCTGACCCACACGCGGCCGCGGCAGGTTCTCCACTAGCAGCTGCAGTTCTGAACGAGCCCCGTCCGCTGCCAGTAACTGTGACTGGTCCGTCCAGAACCTCGGGCAGAACCCGGATCCATGCGACGCTAGTTGGGCTGGGTTCTGAAACAAACAAACATACAATATAACTTACCTAATGCCCGTAATAAAGTTCCTTAACAGGTTCACTATAACGTCATCAGATGACAACATGCACTAGTTAGTCGAAAAAATCTTAAATGTGTAACACAAACCTTTATTAACGGTATCTAACACGCAGCGTCACACACACACACACACACACACATACTGGCCCAAGACCCAAAGCTAAGCCTCTATCTCAGAAAAGCAGCTTAGTATAAAGTTATTCTACATAAATCGTTAACTTGTGAAGATTTCAAGAAAATGAATCTTACGCTGGGTGCAACAGCAAGCAAAGAGTGTGTTGAAATTTGATTGGTGATGCCCAGTTATCAAATCACACACGCATATTTTTAAGCATCTATGTAAATAAATCATTCTACAGCATTGTCTCTGGAGCGTATAGTAAGAGAAGTGAGTCAGAGGTGGCGGCGGTAAGTGGAGGCCTGAGTCTGAGAAGAGTTTAGTAATGAAGAGTGGCGAGACGCCGAGGCCATGCACATCACCCGGCCCACACACCTCTCTCAGCAGCTGCAGGATGCTTACGTTTTCCCCGGACACGACGTTGACGCTGCAGGAGGTGGTGTTGTGCGTGCAGGTGTTCTCGTACACGCACCAGTTGCACGCCCAGTTGCTCCGCACGCAGCTGCCGCAGGTGTTGTGACGGCCGCAGTCGTAGAAGGCAAAGTTGCGGGAGACAAAGTCCTTGTTGGTCTCGCTGGAGCGGACGGCCAGCGGCACCAGGACGTGGTCGTGGTGGATGGGGATGGCTGGGCGGTATGGGCGTGCGGGCGTGATGCAGGTGAGCCCTGAAGCAGTCACCAGGGCGTCTGCAGGGGGCGCAGACCCCCACACACACTGGTACTTGGCCCCCGCAGGTAACTCTGGCAACGTCCGGATCGTCAGCTGAACCTGTCAGGAGAGAAAATAAAAATAAGTTAATCTAAACATAATTTGTATTCACATAGTCTGGCAATCACGATCCTCAACATAAGAATATCAAATCACACAATCAACACCAGCCAATGTTAGTTTTTGGTCTATAAAGGAGTAAACACTTCCTAAACAGTCCCATTAATCTGCCGAGACTTCACACAGCCTGAGAGGCAGCAGGTAGCTTGTACTCGTTAACTTCTCAAAACAAGACGTAAATCAAAGTCCCATATGTTTGTTTACAGAGCGTGAGGTTAGCCGGCAGCGTGGCTGGCTTGTGCGCCACACGCCTCACTCACCTCCCGTATACTGGCTGTAAAGATGCCTCGCCCACCATTCCCGCGGGACTACATCAATTCTTTAGACTACCGACTCGCCCAATTTCATACTCCCCCCGTCCCTAAGGGCCACTCCACGAGAAAAAATAGGCCCGGTCTCTCGAAGCCGATTTAGCGGGATGCATACACAAGCCGCATATCCAGCACAAATTTATCACGGGTGCAGACAGGCAGCTGCTGGGGGGAGGATGCCGGTGGGATTTATGGCGAAGGAGACCCTTAGGCTTACCACACCCAGGTGAGGAGGCTAATCATGACCCAACACAACACAATAACACTCTCACACACACTATGCCTATCAATGATCTGGCCTCGCTGCCTGCCTCCTCGCCTCCGTCTACCGCTCCGTCAGTGGTAAATATTACAATGAAATTCGAATTACAGTTACACGTCTCTTGGGACCTTTAGCTTTAACCTAAACCTATTGGACACTCCATGGACTTGTTCTCAATACAGTGACGAACCTTTACAAATATGTATATCCTCCCCTTTATTTGTCAATCCTTGCATCTCCCCCAGTGTAATATCCTTCTTTTATCCAAGTTACAATACAAACACAGCTCGGTTATATGATACAGTCTTACAGTGCCACAGTGCCATATGCATGACCCCTTTTAACATTCAAAGCAAAGATAAAATTTTTTTATTTTCCAGCGATTAAATCTGGAAGTTAAGACACTCGACCTACAAGCACTAGGGAGACTCCTACCCTCTCATAATTCTCTCCTTCGTTCAACCTCCATCTTACCTCCTCACCCCCCACGAGATATCCACCACAGCTGCGGCGTCCCCTACAGGCCCTGTTAAAGAGATTGGACGCGTCCTGGGCAAATGAAGTGTTAAAATGCTGGAAGCTGATGAATGAGTGAGCAGCGGGGGAGCAGAGCCACGCGCGCACGCACACCCAATGACTCCCACCTACTTGTTGCCTGCGTCTGATCGTTAGTGGCGGGGAGGGGGGAAGAGACAGGAAATACAGTGGTGGTGAGGGGTATTGATGTCTAGGGGTTGGGGGGGGGTGAGAAGGATTCATATCAGGTTGTAGTACTGAGACAGGAAACACAAGTTCAAGACTGAAGGTCGGTAGGTACTGAGAGGGAGATGAGGGTTATCAAACAATATTCATCACTACAAGCTCCTTCACATTACCTATCAAACTAGAGATGTGTTTCTAAGCCCCCCACACAGCCCTCCTAGCCACAAAACCTACATTAAACCCGACAAAAATATATAAAAAAACAAGAAAAAAATATTAAAAACAAGAAAAAAATACTAAAAAAAGACAAAAATCAAACAAATACCTTGAAAATCTGAGCAGGTAATCTTAGGACACATACTGTACACATAAGGCACACAATACATATTAACATATCTAGAACACACGAGACAATACATGAAACACAAGGACCACAACACTAAACACAGAGACACAACACACGAGGTCCAGCCAGCAACATGTGGTACTGAATATCATTAAGTCAGTCACTACTCAGGAGAAATAATTGCCATCAACCATTACTGCGACGCTTCCTATATGGTCGACGCTCCTCAAGTTAAAATGAGCAACACTTCAAAAAAAAACCCAAAAAAAACACTAAAAACTCGACTCCTGAAACAGCCTGAAGTAATAGCAGCTCATTTCCATTAATATACCGGAAAGCAAAGGAAAAAAAACTGATTAAAGTAAGAAAAAAAACACATTGCCATCCCCTTTCCTCTCCTCTATTCTTTCCCTCGCTCGTGAAATATTCAGAGACGATAAATTCCAAATTTCTCCACTTTCTCGATTAGATTGATTAGCCGAGGCTCAAGAGGAACATAACCCTCTCCCGGCAAACATTCCAGTCTGGCCTTTACGCCGGGGTGTCCAAAGAGTGCTCGTGGCGGTGGCAAAAAAAGGCGGCGTTCGGGTTGTAGGAGTGTGAAAGGGCGGTAACATATGCAGGAAAACAGTTTGGCTGGAGTGATTCAGGGGCGTCTTTCAATACGATTTCAGCGACGACCTATTTAAGTCCGCCTCGTCGCCTACACTAACGCTAACTAATTCACCCACGGGACGACGACGACCTCCCCCTCCGTCGCCACCCACCAAACCACCCACCCACCCACCCACCAACTCCACTTCAGTCTTATCCATTTGCTTTCCATCTTTGTAACTATTCCATGTTCCTCAATTTCCCTGCCATTACCCGCCATTCTCCTTGTCACTGATTCTTCTCTTTATCCACACAGTCATCACTTTTCTCCTCTGCCTCTCATTCTCTGTGCTTGTTATTCTTTCCCCGGCTTTCAATTGTCCTTCCATTACTCTTTGTACTTCTTCGTCCATTCCACATCTTTCGTTCCTCACTCCTACTTCCCCTCCGTCACCCTTACCTCTCACCCTCCATCCCTACCCCTCATCCCCACCTCTCACCCCTCCTCCTCACCAATATCTACACCCCCAACCTCTCAAATGCCTCGTTCCTCTAATACCAGTTTACCAGTCCTCACTCCCAGCACCGCTCTACCTTCACCAGTACCCATCATCAATACCTATCACTATACCTTTCATAAAACAAATAAATACTAATTGCAGATCATCCACTCAGTACAGTTGTTTTTGTGTGATATGTCCAGGGAACAGTGTGAGTGAGGAAGGAATTGGCTGTGTTGTTATGAAAGCAGCTAGACTCGTACAAACACAGACAGACAGACAGACAGACAGGCACAACACAACCCTGGAGCCACCATCCATCTAGGCCTCCGACCCCGCCCCCCGCCCCCACTATACCTCAGCCCCCCTCCATCTATCTTCATCTCCCCCATCACTAAAATACATTACCATGACGAAGGTAAATATAAAATAAATGCCAGTATGCAAATGTGTTGAGGGAGGAGACTGATGGGGGTGTTCCGTCTAACCCTTCCTCTCTCTCTCTCTCTCTCTCTCTCTCTCTCTCTCTCTCTTTCTAGGGAGCTTCTCGATCAAGTCACCACAACAGTACGTTTTACCATACTCATATTACATTAGACTACTGTACCCTCAGGTGTTAGGAGCCAGTGTAGTGAGTTACAACAATACAGACGGCAACATTCACACTAGCAAGAGGCTGTAAGTGAGAGTCCAGTGAGAGCGTCCTGAACCAACCTGCCGAGTCCAGGATATTGTCTGCTGACGTGAAAATGGGAAAAAGTACTGCTGCCTTCAATACTACTGCTTCTGCTGGTTCTACTGGTAAGGCAGAGTAGTGTAAGTACTGTTATATCTATTGGTTCTGAGGTTCATGTCCTGGTGGTTCTTGTAAGCGGTTGTCACTGTTGCTTCTGTTTTTAATGCTGTTCATACGGCTGATGTTGTGTACTGTTGAAAAGTGTTGTATATGTTACTGTTAGTGACGAGCTGTATTACCACACACACACACACACACACACACACACACACACACACACACACACACACACACACACACACACACACACACACACACACACACACACACACACACACACACACACACACACACACACACACACACACACACACACACACACACACACACACACACACACACACACACACACACACACACACACACACACACACACACACACACACCCCATAAAGCATCTGTGCCCTTCCTTCCCCGACCCGCAGCTTTCTTGGGCCATTTACTTACACCGAGGGCTAATATTTAATAATCTTTTAACGAGTGCTCTTCCCTACGTCCACCCTCCCCCTCCTCAACCATCCCTCAGTCTCCCCCTCCTCCCTCAACCACCACCTCCTCCACGTTCACCCCTCACACGTCCCTCCTCCCCCTCATTCACCTTTTAGCCTCCCTCTCCCCAAGTAAACCCATCATCCTCCTCCTCCTTCCCCCACAACACACCCTCAGCCTCCAACACCACACTTAGATCCGTCCACAAGAAGACCCCCCCTCCCGCGCTCCCTAATTGCTGTCTTCTCCCATTCACTCCCTTATCCAAACAATTTTCTCTCCTCCCCTTTCCTCCTCTTTTTTTTATCTTAACTCACCTCATTCCGTCTTGTCCCATTGCTATAAGTGTTGTGTATGGCCCCTCGTCTACCCCAGCACCACGGCTCCCCCCGCCAACTGTGTCTCGGGGCTCCTTCATCACCTCCCCCTGTGTCTTTTACTGAAGCTCCTCCGCTCTTACACCAGGTACGGGGGGAAAAGGTGTTGACTGGACTGAAAGAGGGAGGGAGGAAAGACGGCGAGGGGGATGAGAGGAGGGAAGGAAGAACAGGAAGTAGGGGGGAGGAGGGAGGGAAGAAGAACAGGAAAGGGAAGGTAGGAGGAGGGAGAAAAAAGAACAGGAGGGGAGAGGGAAGATGGGAGAGGGAAGAAGAAAAACAGGAGGTGAGGTGGGGGGGGGGGAACAGGAAGGGGAGGTGGGAGGAGGGAGGGCAGCTATAATATTGGTGCAGCAGCGTCAGGAGGGAACAATAAGACGTGTCTGCGGGACAGATCGTCGTCGACCCACAATATGACCTCGCTGGTGACCGCTCGTAAAATGCACAATAACTCCCTCACACGCTCGCTCACATTCCTCACAGTTTTTACCACCAATAAGACCCAGGAGATGAATGTGGCCACAAGTATATCCTATAGAGGGTGTCCGTAAGTGGTGCCTCTGGTGCTGGGCGCGTGTTGGTGGTCACGGTGAAGGTGCTCCTGCTGATGGTGGTAGTACTGTTACTGGTAGGTGTGGCGGTGGTGGTGTTGCTGTAATTCTTGTGAGGGTCCTGGTTGGTGGTAGTAGTTATGATGGTGGTAGCCGTCGAGAACTTTGGTAGTGGCGAAGGTACACAACTTTTTTTTGTACTCCTGAAGATACTTATTGCATAAAAAAAGGGAATTCCAGTAAAATTATTCCAGCAGTGTAGAGGAAAGGGAATGGCCTAAACTCTCCAGGTGTCCCTCCGTCACAGCTGGTCGCCACGATGCGGACGAGGGGCTACTGCCGTCTAGTATGGGAAAGGAACAGGTGCTAAGAACAAGGACGCCATCACCTCTATGGAATGACGTAGCACCAACAACAAGCAGGATTTAGTGGCCCTATAAGAGAAGACTACGAACACTATAACAATAGACAGGACAGAGAAACACACAGGATAATAAATGATGGATAAGAGAGACCAGCAGCAAGGTGGCGGACATTCAGCAGACAAGACAGGAGATAAAGTGGGACACACAGCAGACGGCGCAGCAGCAGTTGAGGCAACAGGCAGAGGTCTCCGCTACACCACAATCTTGTCCCGGAGAATCCAGGAAGTCGACACCTTGATAAACCAAATTACCTTTCGGGGACTTCATGGTGTTGGAGGTGCTGTCAGTTGCCTTCCTCCACAGATCAAGTACAGTACTACTCACCATCACGCCCACCCACTCATATACTCACCATCACGCCCACCCACCCACCTATTCCTCACCCACTCGCCCCCTATACTCGCCAACCAGCTCGGCTGTCAGTAGGCGTCTGGCCACAAGATTAACTGGAGTCTCTCGAGCCTTCAAACTCTGGCACGTTCTTTCTTGGCTTGACTTCTTGCTAGTCCTGCTGTGCTCATGCATAGTGAGCACATACGAGTACGGGCGCATGGGGGGAGAGTTGTACACAAGTGGAGTTCGTACTTACAACTAAGGGCACGTACAGTCTCGTTCAAGATTCTTCGAACACTGCTGGAGACAGCTGGCAACACAAGGCCGTTTGTTTACTAAAGTACGTAGCAAAAATTATGAATAAATGTAAGTGATCGGGGATTAGTTACTTAGTTTCCCGTTGCTTAATTTAATGGTTGGGCTTTGTTGTTTCGCATTAAATTATACTACGTACTATACTAAACAAACGGCCTTGAGTTGCCAGCTGTCTCCAGCAGTGTTCGAAGAATCTTGAACGAGACTCTACATACGGGTACGTCTCGCAGGTCAAAAAAAGTGAGTTCTCTCGGGGTACATTTAAAAAAGTGCGTGTATACGAAGGGTACTTACACATAAGGGAGTGTATGCACAGGAGGGAGTCGTGTATACTATGGCCATGCACATACAAGTGGCACATGTTAAACAAGCGTAACTGAGCTGATAATACACCACCCTGCCCGACGCTCAGTTCTCGCGACAAATATAACTGAGGAAGTTGCAATTTTCATACTATCCTTCTCTGAGCCATCATCCGCCGCTGACCAGATAATACCGAGGCTTAACAGAGTTAGTCCTCCCTCCCGCCTCCAGTACCTGCACCACTCCACACCCAGGATTAGTCTTCACTGTTGCCCCACGGCCGTCAGCACTGGCTGTCTTAACATAAACTCAATATTAGAGTGGGTACTGTGTGTGTGTGCTCAGGGACATCGCTGCCCCTCTACCACCACTCCACTGTCACTCACGCGCCAGCCACGTCACATCAATCATGCCTGGTTAAGGCGCCGTGTCAGACACAACCACGAATAAACACATTATCAAACCCCATTCAGGCACTTCAAAGATGGATGAGCGGGCGTGTCCCTAGTCGGGATGTCCTTCAGGAAACACAGCCAGAGGAACACACAGTCCATCACGTTAACATTAGGTGGTAACACCACGCTACCTCCTACACCATAACCAGCCGGCCACCACCATCCCTGGCACTCCCGCCACCACCCAACTTGCAACACTACCACTGTCAGGATATGCAACACTGTCTTCACTCTATTAGTTGTTGTCAAACAGAAGGAGTTCTGTACCACCCAATGTGGCCCACGCCCACCATCTTAGCTGACACAACCAACACCACAAACTGGGGGCGGGACGGAGGGGGGGAATACCACCATCAACACTAAAACCCTAGAGGGGGATCATCAGCAACACAGTCCCACGGGGTAAAGGGGGGAGGAAGGCGGGGGAGGAAGGTGGGGTGGGCGGGGCGGAGCGGGACCAGGGACCAACAATAACATAGCCCTAAGGGTTAATGGGGGAGGTAGGTAGGGCGGGGCCGAGGACCACCAGTAACACAGACCCAGGGGGTAATGGGGGAGGAAGGCGGGGTGGGGTGGGGCGGGACGGGGCCAGGGACCAACAATAACACAGCCCCAAGGGGGAAGACTGTGGGGCGGGGCGGGACCGGGGACGACCAATAAAACAGCCCCAGGGAGTATTGGAGGAGGAAGGCGGGGCGGGGCCGGGGACGAACAATAACACAGCCCCAGGGGGTAATGAGGGAAGAAGGCGGGGCGGGGCAGGGACCACCAACAAGCGCGGCATGACGCAGGAATGCGGTGGTTAATGCGCGAGTCATGTACGGAAGGCGGTGTTGGACGTCGCTCTGGTAATTTATTTCCTGGTGGCGGTATTTCTCGTGACCTCCTGGAACGTGGCGACACTGGACCTCCACCTCACCACAGCCTCCAGCCGACCCCCGTCACTCTCAGGTAATCTGTCAGGCTACCTTACCAACATAACCACACGAAGGGAACGGTGACCGATCAAATGGTCCCAGTTCTAATAGCTTCCCGTCCTAATGGGCCCTCGTACTGATAGGTTCCTGCACTAATGGGTCACAATCCTAATAGGTTGGGTTCAGGTGGGTCTTATTAGGAGGAGGATCAATTTTTGCGATATATGTTAATGAGCGTCCTTAAGTGAGCAACACAGGATACTACTAAGAGAAGAGCGACTCACCGTGGCCGTCATCATGTCTATGGGCAGTCTGTCAGGCAGGATCATCTCGAAGTCGATACACTGCTGTCCGGAGCCGAAGCTGAGCCAGCGAGGGGAGGAAAAGGTCGCCTTCTGGCACGCCGACTGTACCGTGCACCTGAGGGAGACAACAACAGGTGTTAGTTAGAGTGTGGGTGTGGACAACACTATCATTAATATATTATTATTATTATTATTATTATTATTAGAACACCTTAGTGTACTGGTCTGCTAAACTACCTCAGGTTGAACATCATCACTACACCTCTACACGAGCTTGACTTTAGGATCATCAAACACTGTACAGTTATGGAGAACGTGAAATCAACTAAGGAAAACAGTAATTATAAATAAATAAATAAATAAATATATATATATATATATATATATATATATATATATATATATATATATATATATATATATATATATATATATATATATATATATATATATATTCCTTAATAATACACTCGTTTATATTTGTGTAAAGTAACAGTAAAGTTGACATTTTGTGTTATATGGGTGGGGGTAAAATCTTCCTATATACAATAATATACGGAGATATACAAACGAGAGAGAGAGAGAGAGAGAGAGAGAGAGAGAGAGACCCTCCCAGCAGCCGTCGGGATGGGGGGGGGGGGGCAATATGTGGCGGTACAGTAATGACCCTCATAAGGACTAATGCCCCGATTCGCCCTAATGACCTGATCTGCCCTAATTAAAGCTTAAGCCTCAATTCTTGCCCTACCCTCCTCCCTCCCTCCACCTCTTGGCCTGGCAGCTAACAGATGGTGAGACATATTGGCCATCTTCCTCACCACCACTACTGATAGGGGAACTTCCGCCTTACCCTGAGACATGGCTGGCCCGCCCGCCCGCCCGCCCGCCCACATACACATTTTATCCTCACCGCCTCTTTCTACAGGAGAAAAGGCGTGTTCTTAACTACCACCATCACTACAACAACAATCCCAGACTGCAATAAACTAGTGGGGGCAGGTGGGGGGTAGGGAGGAGAGGGAGTAGGGGTCGAGAGGAGGGGGGGGAGAGGGGATAGTGGGGAGGGTTAGTGGCATCGCAATCCAGAGTGAATCTCTCTCATCCACTATCTACCTCCTTTCCTTCTTCGTTCCTACTTTCCTCCCCATCGTCCTCTTCCATTTGCCTCACTCTTCTTTCTCCTCCTCCCTTCTCTACACAGACACACAAGAAGGACAAATCACACCTACACCCTTAAGTATACAGATGCTAAGGTCGTTTGGGGCTGGAAAAGGGGCCTACACTCAGCCCCCTTCGCCCCCTCCACATAGAGACAATTATCACCTGCTTCACTCCGCCAACGATGTGATGAGAGAAAGAGAATAGGGGTAAATGAGGAAAAACAGAGAGAGAGAGAGAGAGAGAGAGAGAGAGAGAGAGAGAGAGAGAGAGAGAGACCCAACCCATACAGGAAATTATCAGACGGGTTCCTCTTGCTGAAAATATTTCCACCTGAATCTGCATCTATTTATCAACGTCCCTGTTTTGTCAGTCCTTACAACGTGTATTTTTTTCCCTTTCACTCTCTCTCTCTCTCTTTTTCGTTGCCCCTACCTCCTTCCCTCCCTCCCTCTCTCACTCCGTTACCATCTCTCCCCCTCTCCTCTTTCTCGTTTCCCTACCTCCCTTCCTCTCCCTCACCCTCCCTCCCTCTTTCTCGTTTCCCTACCTCCCTCACTCTCCTCCCTCCCTCCCTCTCACTCTCCCTCCCTCCCTCCCTCTCTCTCCCACTCTCTTCCCCTTCCTTTCTCTCCCTCACTTTCCCACTCCTTTCCCCTCCCCCCATATGTCTCTCAGTCCCTTCCTATCTTCCTTCAATACTTCACGTGTTCGGTAATTAAGTTCAGGTGTGTATGTGTTTGTGTATACGTGCGCGCTCCTGACAGGTGATGTGGCTGTATGTTGGTGTGACATGGTGTGGCTTATAGAGAGTTACAGCGTTTGGTTTTGCCAGACAGGTGGTGTGGTAGTACAGGACAGGTGGTACAGGACAGATGGCTGGAATAAAGAGACAGGTGGTAAGTTTAGCAGGACAGATGGTATAGTTGAGGATAACACAGTATTATGTATTCACTTTACAATACAACCTAATCAAACTCAACCACGGTCATATATTTTATAATTTCCACACACACACACACACACACACACACACACCTACCTTTACCACAACCAGAGTCACCTCCATCCCACGCCCGGCACACCTACACCATTACCGTCTTCACTACTGTCCACCCCGCACCATCACCGTCTCTTGTCACTGCCCCTCCCTCCCGTCCCATCCATCCAACACTCCCTCGTCGACTCCACTACCATCCATGTCCTTGCCACAGTCCCTACCATTAGCTACGCCCACACACCACCCCACACAGTTATGGAACCCATCATCTACGCCCACACACCACCCCGCACAGTTATGGAACCCATCATCTACGCCCACACCTTGTCTTACACCATCCTCACCAAAATCTATAACCTGTCCCGAGCCATCACCACCCACGCCCGCCCGACCCATCCCTGACGCCCATCTCCACCACGCCCCACACTGCCCTAAAAGACGGCGGTCCCTGAAGCCCATCTACGGCGTCTGGGCCGGGTTAGACCACGTGGTGCAGGACGCCCCCCCACCCCCCCACCCCGTGCCTCGTGGTGCCCCGGGGGTGTAGTCCCATCATTAGGGGCCATATGCAAGATTGCCCAAGCCCCGTCATATCCTGCCCTAGATTAAAGCCTACGGGAAGGAGGAGGGAAGGAGAGATGGGCAGGGAATGAGCAAGAGAAGAGAGAGAGAGAGAGAGAGAGAGAGAGAGAGAGAGAGAGAGAGAGAGAGAGAGAGAAGAGAGAGAGAGTAAGAAAGATGATGATGGTCGGTGTTTACGTCGACTGAGGGAATCAAGAGTCGAGTCGTTAAAGTGAGGTTTAATGGGAGACAAAGTGCGTGATTTAGGAGTAAGATTCGGAGAGGAAGGAGAGGAAACAGCAGCGTCTAGGGGGGTCGTGATGAGGCAGTTTAGGAGGGTCGTGATGAGGCAGTTTAGCGGGTCGTAATGAGGCTGGGTGTAGGTAGGGGGCCGTGATAAGGTAGGGTGAGCGTCTTGAGACAGGGTGAGAATATGTAGGCGTTCACTATCACTAGACCATCACTAAAGCTCACACTATGCCCTCCGCCACCACACTGCCCTCCACCACCACACCACACTGCCCTCCACCACCACACTGCCCTCCACCACCACACTGCCCTCCGCCACCACACTGCCCTCCACCATACCATATACCTCCAATAGCGGAACTTTCATCGAAATTAATACGCGGTCCCCCTCCCTCCCTAACCAACCAATGACATTAACCAACTCAAGTGAAATGTGAGAGTGGAGGAGTGTCCCAACCATAGGGTAGAGGCGACCCTCCCTCCCTTCCCCCCCTTACCCTCCCCAGATCCACCTTCCGCCACCTGAGTGGGTCGCGCCAAATGCCTTATGAGCACCCGATTATATTTGGGGGAATGCCAGCGTCAGCCTCGACAAATATGGCCGACCAGATACAAAATAGGTTGATGGCAGAGGGAGCAATATTATTACTTTTTTGTGGGAGAGGAATAGCGTGAAGGGTGGGTGGAGGAGCGAGGCGCTGTGAGGGCAATACAGGTCGTGTTGGTCCCCCAGCACTCACTGGTGACAGGCACCACCTCCAGCCCTCACCAATATGGACTGGTGAACACATAATGTCAGAAGTGAGAAGAGGCGCCATATTACCGCTGCAGAAGCTCACACCGGCCAAGCGTTGGGCAGCACGTGTGGGGGTGAGCGAGGGGCGTAACGACCACCACGAGGAGGCCAGCCGACGCTGCGCAACACACATGCCTATGGTGGCGTCCCCCGCGGAAGTGCTCGTCAACCCCCGTTTCTCCGCAGACCCCCATCCACCCCCCCCAAAGCACCCCGAGGGAAGCGACCCCGCCTCCCTTGGCTATGGTTCCAGAAATTGCCTTATGAGTTTCCGATTGCTGCTGGCGCAGGGCTCAACCCGGCAGCCGGATACTCCCTGATGACAAGTTGTGCACTGCTCCGCCCACCAGCTCGCCCATCTTAGACAGTGGACTCAAACTTATACCAGAACTGCAGTCCACAGTTAGTGAGGAAGGGAAGCGATTGTGAGAAAATAGGGAACACGGGGGATAAGAACGGACGGGACGGGAAGAAGGAAGGTAATAAAGGGAGGAGAGGAGAGGTTAGAGGAGCTGGAATAGAAAGAAAAAATAAAGACAATACATGAAGGAAGAGTAGCAGGAGAGCTATAGGCACGCACACACACACACACACACACACACACACACACACACACACACACACACACACACACACACACACACACACACACACACACACACACACACACACACACACACACACACACACACACACACACACACACACACACACACACACACACACACACACACACACACACACACACACACACACACACACACACACACACACACACACACACACACACACACACACACACACACACACACACACACACACACACACACACACACACACACACACACACACACACACACACACACACACACACACACACACACACACACACACACACACACACACACACACACACACACACACACACACACACACACACACACACACACACACACACACACACACACACACACACACACACACACACACACACACACACACACACACACACACACACACACACACACACACACACACACACACACACACACACACACACACACACCAGACGTGAACTCCCCCGCGAGGTATCTGGGTTATGGATCCGATACAAAACTTTGAACCAAATATTGAGGTGGACGAGGCCGGTCATCAGCAGTGGGGCGTCTGTATACTTTTTCCTAAGGACCCGAGAGGAAAATGCTGATAACACTGTGCGGGGTCTCACAGCTGCCGCGTTATCTCCTTCCTCTGCCTGGGAGTTCCGCAGGGTCTGACACTCACCCGGGTCCAATACTACCCGGGAGAGGGGAGGAAAGGGGAAGAGTGGGAGGGGAAGGGGAAGAGTGGG